AACACACTGGGCATGTGTATGTGCATTCCCAAAATTCCAAAAGGAGACTGAAGGAGAAGGGGTTTGAGCATGGCCATCCCCCCTGGAGGGTGATTTCTCACTTTCCCTCTCTCTTGAGATCTGCTGAGTGCTCTATGGCCTAAACAAAGAACAAAAGAATCAAGCAAAAAAACACTTCCAACCAAGATTCTATTGCTGGGAGGGAAATCCAATAACTGTCTCACAGGTCCCCTGGAAATTAAATGTCTATTAATTAGTTCTGCATGTGACAATGAGATGCTTTTCCATACATGGAACTGTTGAGCCATCAGGAAATGGTGCATTTTTGCATCGAAAAGCATAGAAAAATGCATTATGACTTATCCAATGACCTAATATTCTCTTCAGTGTATCCCTTTGTTTCCATCATGAGAGAAAAGAGAGTGAGAAGCACCCCCATCGGGTCCCCATGCCGTGATCGACCCTGAGCCTCAGCCAGCCCAGATGTGGGCATGAGCGCACACACACTCACACCCAGCATTCAGACAGGACACACGCTGGGGGACGGTCCCATGTGGGCCCAGTCACGTGAACACCGTGCCACCATCTGGTTCCCAGAACTCTTTTTTTAAAAAAAGGAGATGTGAAGTCCTGAAATGAGAACGGCTTATCGAAAGTGAGCTGTGGTTATGTGTGTTAACAGAAGAGCCCTGGAATAACCGCCCAACAGAAATATACTGCAAGCCACAAATGTGGGCCACAGAAATAATGTGAACTTTCCTGGGGGCAATGTATTTAAAAGTTAAAAAATAGCTAAGGTTCATTTCATGTATATATTGTATTGTATGGGGTCTTTTAAAAGTTCATGAAGGCCAACTGGCAGCCTGGTGGTTAAGGCCGCTGGATCCCACATGGCCAACGGCATGGTTTGAATACTAGACTCTGTGGCTTAAAAAACACACCAGGCGGGGACCAGCAGTTGGTCGAATGGCTATGTTACTGGACTCTCATGTGGTTGACAACAGTTCGAATCCCAGACCTGGTGGCTTAAAATTCATGCCAGGCACATGTGTGTGCATGCCCCAGATCCCGAGAGGAGAATGAAGGAGAAAGGATTGCGGTATAGCCATCCTCCCTGGGGGGCAATTTCCCACTTTCTGTCTCTCTGTCTCTCTCTCTGGCAAGCGCACACGCCCTATAACAAAAATCTCTAAAAAACAAACAAACAAAGAAACACCAGTCATGTGTATGTGTGTGAAAATCCCAAAGAAGAATGGAGAAGGGATTAAGGTGTGACCATGCCCCATGAGGGCTATTTTCTTACTTTCCCTCTCTCTGTCTCTGTCTCTGTCATTCTCTCTGTTGAGTGCACACACCCTCTGCCAAAATTTTTCAAAATTAAAATTAGAGAAGTTCATGAATGGGGCCTGCAGATGATGTAATGCTTACGTTGCTAGACTCCCACATGGTTAACTACAGTTCGAGTCCTGGACCCGGCAGCTTCAAACTCATGCTGGGCGCATGTGTGTGGATGCCCAAAATCCCAAGAGAAGCCTGGAGGAGAAAGGATTGGAGCGGACCAACCCCTGGGAGGTGGTTTCTCGCATTCTGTCTCTGTCTCTCTCTCTGGCAAGTGCATGTGCCCTATAGCAAAAATCACTCAAAAAATTTCATGAAAAATACGTATTATGAAAAACTATTATTTATAGATTTCAAAATATTTTGCACCAAAATAAATGCATACTTTAATTCCATTTTCCCACAAGATATTGGAAATAACCCTATATATTGAAAATATTGTCATTTCTACATGTAATCAATGTTAAAAATTATTCATTAGATATCTGAGTTGTGTGTGTGTGTGTGTATGCACACGTGCACCAAGTCTTTAAAAGCTACAGCACACCTCGGTTTTGACTGGGGTCTCAAGTTCTCAGTGGCCCCACGTGGCTAGCAACTACTGTTTGGACAGCACTATAGGGGTGCAAGAGCCTCAGCTGCCCTGCGTGGGAGTGGACGGAGCCAGGCCCGCTGCGCTGCGTGGGAGTGGACGGAGCCAGGCCCGCTGCCCTGCGTGGGAGGACATGGACGCCCAGGCAGGGCTGAGAGGAGTGACACAAGTGAAGCACTCACCTGAGCACAAAACGCAAAGGAACACGCACAGAGAAACCCATCAGCAGTAAAACAAGTGACACTGCAGTGAAATACCTTACAAATAAAAATCAGGGCCAGCAGGTAGTTAAGGCACTGGACTCCCATGTGGTCAACCACAATTCAGCTCCAGACCTGGAAGCTTGAAAATCACACCAGGCGCGTGTGCATGCATACCCAAAATCCTGAGTGGAGAATGGAAGAGAAGGGATTATAGCGTGGCCATCCCCCTCAGGAGTGATTTCTCTCTTTCTCTCTCTGTCTCTTTCTGTCTCTCTGGCAAAGGCACACACCCTATAGCAAAAATTTCTCTCAAAAAAAAAATAGAAATTAGTGCAAAAAAATTGTGATGAAGAAAATACCAAATTTTTAATAAAAACAGAGTCAGAATACTCACTCTCTCTTTGCCTCAGGTTCTAAAACAACTCATTACGGCACTGTACCAAGGGCCCACTGGAGACCAAATCATCAGTATTTCAGAAGATAGGGCCCAGGAATTGTATGGTTTTTGGTTGTTTTTTAATTTTTGCTTTAGGAGAGAGCATATGCACTGGCCAGAGAGAGAAGAGGAGAAAGGGAGAGTGAGAAAGCACCTCCCCCTGGGGGGAATGGCCACAGTCCCTTCTCCTCCATTCCCCTCTCGGGATTTTGGGCACGCACACACTTGCCTGGCATGTTTTTCAAGCCACCAGGTCTGGGACCCCAGCCACAGAATCAGCTATGTGGGATCCAGTGCCTTAACCATCACACCACCAGCTGGCTCAAGGCTTTCTATTGTTAAAACACTCCAACGGGGGCCAGTAGGTGGCATGGTGGGTGGAACTCTGGACCGCCACATGGCCAACTGAGGTTCAAATCCCAGACCTGACAGTTTGCTTTCTCACTTGC